TGTAGTTATATATTAAAGTACCTTGACTTTTGAACCAAAAATATTGAAAGATCGCGTGAAGCAGCACTAAATTTTAATGTTCTGTGCACCCATATATTCTTTCTTGTAGCACTGAACTTCCTTGCACTGAACTTTAAATGTAGCAAGGTCTTGTGAACCACATTGGAAACATGTGGTGCCTATTGTGATGACACTAGCTAGTTTTTCCAATATAGTTCTAGTATAAAGTTTTTCATTGACCTTTGAAGCTCTGACCCCAAAAGGTACACATACATATGACAATGTTGAACGCACTAACTGTGCGGTGCTTCGCGCTACAGCAGGTAATAACCAAATTGTTTTGAAGGTTGCGATTATCCAAACACCATTTAGTAAATTCAGCCACAGAGGTTAATGATGGAATGTCTCAATGAGTGTACAACTCGGAGATACTAAATGGTCTTCAAAAGTATCATATACTCGTTTGATCACATATTTCGTATTATTTACAGGCCGAGTTAAATCTTGTATTTACTGGTGTAAGGCGACGGCAAATCTCATCAAGTGTGACGCATAAACTGTCATTATCTGGTCTTTCAAAGTCACGTAGATCATTCTCTGGTAACAAGCAATTATCCATCCCTACTGCTGATGCGAAGAAGATTATCATTCCATTGGAAACCGAATGATGTCATTATCATTGTAATAACTGAGCATGTTATACTCATTACGCGGAGCGCATTCTAATTCATTTCACGCGTGGTTCTTGTCGCATGGAACTCATATGCCATACGACGCGGAACGACGAATGGGATGCTTCTCTGCCATTTCTTATATATTTTAACATATCACTATATTACGTACAGTACATCAACATTTGACAACTGGTGCATTTCAATTGATACATATAAGCCTTTGATACATATAAGCCTTGTGTCTAATTCGATGATGAGAATAGTTATAATTTTAATCATGTTTGCAAGTGAACTGTTATTGGTAAAATTGTACATTGATGTCTGATTTGTGATTTCTTTAGTTCGACTTTTGGAGAGTATCTTTGTATTTAATTTCACAGGACCAGCACATCACAATTTGTCTTTTACCACGTTCACATGACTTTCTTAATGATTATACCATTTTTAAGACAACAATATTAATCATTAATATAGCTACTATTTTTAAAAGATACTCCAAACACATGAGTGCATAATTACACTGTATTCACTCGTAACATTGGACTATTTATGTATTCTTGTAGGCATTTTGGATTGTTTTTTGCTAAATAGATACTTTATCTGTAAGTGTGTGATCTTACTATTAACAAATAATATGATAATTCGGACACATATGCTACTCAGATATCGAGTGGATCGCCGTAATAGATTCGTGCATACAAAATATCAGCACGTGTATATACCAGCTCATATATTAAATATAATGGTGACACTTTATAAGTTCCATATATATTTCTGATTTGACTAGGAAGTGTGGTGTACTATCAGTTGCTTCGTTTTGTTCTAGTGGACTTTTATCAGTGTTTTGTGGATTTCCACTCTATTACAAATTCCATGGAATCATATGCATCATCACGTTATTTACTGGTATAGCGCTGGTTAATTCAGTAATCTAGTATACAGTTCTCTTTTCAAGATGTTGATTCGATAGCGTTAACATTTCCATCTAGCATTTTTGTCTACATTAACTGGCAAGCCTTGCCTCGGTCCCAAAATAGTTAATTTACCTAACCAGATACGGATCGATGTTTACTGCAGCTCAATGCGCCCAACTTATAACGATAACATGTTTATAGGGTGGATTTCAGACTCATAATTGCTCAGTCGTGTCAACCACTGCCAGTCGAGTTGAATTTACAGATCATAGCGATCTGAATCAACTAACCATAATGATAAAACATTCCATCAAGCTAAATTGGATAACACATGCCCGAGATCTTGTCCAGGATACTGGACAACTGAAATTGTCAGTAGTCAGTCATCTTTGATCAATTGACAAAATAATTGTATAAGTGTATGTATATCATGATGTACTGTCTGTAAAGGTTGGAGTGATTTGCTCGAAATGTATGAGATATGTGTTCAAAATAATAATTGTCAAAATCGGCCTTATTCAATAATTAAATGAAAATTAATGTGGATATTGAAAAATTAAGAAATGTGGCAATAAATAAATCACTTTATCATACGAACATCCGTGGTATATGTTTGTGCTGCGCCAATATCTTTGGATAGTTGGTCTTCACCACCCGATATATTTTTTATATATTTCTCACCTTTCGCCATAAAAAAAACAAACGCTTAAGGTAGCGAGACTATTATTTGCATACTTGTTTTCATCTTTTAATTGTGACTAAATAACTACAAATAGACCCGGAAAAGTATATATTTTTAGAATCGCCAGACTTCGAGCTTTTCACAAGTGTATTTTGCATGCCCGTATCTGCATTCTACGACGCGTTACTCAATCAAAGGTGAAAAATTACTTTTTCTGTAAAAAAATAATTACGCATTTAGGCTGGCGATAAAAAGTATTTTTTTTCACTTTTCCTAGTTGTTCAATAGTCTGGTAAATTGAATGTGTCTGGTCAGTTTTATTCAAGCAACGCGTTTTAAAAAATAGTGTGCTGAATTTCAATTACTGTTTTAGTCACATTGCCCCCAACTCAAACCACAACTCGTTGGTAAATAATCGATGAAATTGTTTGTCTGGACACATTCAAGTTCCTCTCATTGTCACCTTAAAGCTGTGAAAATTTGGTGTTAATCCGACGACAATAAGTATACGTTATTTTTTGTTAAAGACCTTGTATTTTGAAAAACATAAACTCCTAGAAAACGTCCATGAGTACAGCAAAGATTTTCAGCTTGTTTATCGGCACAATCAATTTGTT